AATTTTAAATAATTATATAATTTGATTAGTTAATAATTATAAAAATCATAAGTAGATATATAAAAATTAACTAATTATATGAGACCCAACTATTGGTTATCTACAGGTTAATTACCAGTTAACTATCTAGTTAAAAACTAGTTGATCTATAATTTAACTACCAGATAACCCAGTTGATACTTTTTTAAATAATTCTAATTACTAATTTTAGATACTTAAATAAAGTTATTTTATTAGAGTAGTTTTATGAAATTCTATTTAAAACAATATTTATTTAATTATTTAATTATTAGTTTATTTAATATAAACAAATTCTAAACCAAAATATACAAGTATAAATAGCTTCTTAAAATAGCCCAGAATGATATAATAACAACAATAACAATAAACAAAACCAAACTCAAAATAACAAAAATACTCTTACTATATTCAAAATTATCTATACTATATTAATAGGTATTTTTTTTAAAAAAAAAGTAACTATTTCTTAGTAAAAAATGCTCAATCTATTATTTTAATTATTTTAAAATATCTATCCACTATCTAAAAATACTTATTTAATATTTAAAGATTCTATAATAAAAAGTTATTTAATATACTAAAAAAAATATTTAAACTCCATTTTTTTTAAGCCAAAGAAACCATTAATTTATATATTTTGATTATAATTATATATTATAATTTTGAAAATAAGTTTTTTTTTTATTTTTATTTATTATTAATTTATATTAAAAATATTATATTTATTGTATAATCTTGATTAAGAATAAGTTTTTTTACTATCCCTTAAACCGTCCGGTTTAGCAGATAAATTTGTCCACTAAAATAATTGGACAAAAACATTATATTTAAAAAAAATTTTTTAATGAAAATCTTTATTCTAATCAGCTCCAACGCCTGCAAATACGGGAAGTCTAATGGTTCCCTCTACACCAGGTCCTGGGCCAACGACACCAGCAAGCTTTTTGCCCCAAACACCATTCGTCCCAGCTAGTACAACCCCAACTGGTGGAGACTTTAGACAGATCAAACATGATGGTAAGAAATTCTACATTTAAATTGGTAATGAATATTTACTGATGTTTTATTGTTTACCCCCTTTGTTTTTTTTTTTTTTACATATTTTAATAGCTGTATCGTCTTCTAAAGAATGGCTCACTACTGAAATTCAAGTTCGAGTTGTTCCAGATTCTAGAACAAATTCATCTCATGCTGGTGGGCAATATGACAATCGTGTAGGCGTTATCATCCATTTGGAATCGCCTACAACTTGTATTGTAGAATTAGAAGAGACGCAAGAGCGTTGTTTATTTGAACAACGATTTTTGAAACCTGTTCTTCCTCAAAAGAAGGAAAGGATTAAGATGATAGGAGGAGAGCATAAAGGACAATTAGGGATGTTGGTGGGTGTGGACGGTGCTGATGGTGTAGTAAAAGTCAAAGGTGGAAAAGATTTCAAGATTGTGAACATGAATATGATGGCTAAATACATGGGAGAAGAGGTTGCAGATGAATTATTATAAACGCTAATTTTTATAACTTGTAAGATTTAATTCTTGGTTTGCTATCCATTTCAATTTGTATTTTGTTCTTTTTTAGTAACAATTTTTTTAAACAAATGCTATTGCAAATGTAAAAATTTACTTTCATGATTTGTTGATTCGCATTAGTGATTTGAATTTGGCATTTTTCACACTGTTTCTAACTTGTGATAAAACATTATTTAATTTACACGTTAAGCCATTAATATTGAATATAAAAAAATAATCGAAACTGGCCTGATTTAGAATTAGTGCTGGTTAAATTTAGATAGTCCAATACTGATCCGGAAAGATCGAATGTTCGAAAATATAATTGTTTCAATAAATGAATATTCGAATATAATATACTATATTATTTGATTAAGCAGAATAAGAATATTATACTGTATATTGTAATATAATGTTGTTATTCCCTTGAATAACAAGTTACTTTACTCGATTAAGTGTTTGAGTAGTTAAGTAATATGTTTATATAATTTTATAAAAGAAAATAGTTTATAGATAAAATAAAATATTATCAACTTATTGCTATAGCAACACTTACAAAAAAAGGTTATTATCAATAGTTTATAGACAGATATGTTTATTAATTTAGATAATACTCAAAAAATAAGACAGATAAAGCAGAAAATATAATTTAAGAAGAATAGATTTAATTTCAAGAAAAATATTATCCCTTAAACTGTCTAGTGGGCAAATTTGTCTGCTAAAATTTTTTTTGACCTATTTTTCTACAATTGTGCAAAATTTTATTAAGCCACTCCCATATTCTCTAAGCTAAAATAAAAGCATGCTATGTGTTAGTTATCATGTAACTATTATCTTGTAGAGCCTCCTCAACATTGCTCT